CGTCACACCGGCCGGACCTCCCCGCAAACGCACTCGACCCACGCCACGTCTTGTGGCCATCGACCGTCCAGCTGACGAGTCCGCCTCGCAGATCACCTTCTTGACCCAGCCGTACTCGGCGAGCGCGCTCCTGACCTCCAATGCATGTGCAGCTCCTTTTGTTATTGATATGTACTCGCTCTCCGCCGTCGATAAGGCCACTATCTGCTGCGTCGAGGAATAGGCTTCGAGCAGGTGGCCTCCGAAGTATACCCAGCCAGCCGAGGTAGAACGCAATGCCTCCAGCTCGCCAGCCCAGTTCGCGTCCGTGACCACTCTCACGTCCTCTGGCATCTTCTGGTAGTTGAACTCCCACACGAGCAACGGCACCTCCGAATAGTACTTGCACAATCGCTTGAGGGCACACCACGCCGATCTCGTTGGCGTCGACATGTGGCGAGCGACTTCCTTTGTCGCGTACTGCGCCTCGGGACGGTCTTGGCCGACATAGAGCGCCGTCCCCACGAGTGCTCGGTATAGTGCTGCTCCTTCTTCGTCAAGGGGGTCTGCAGCATCACGAGTCTTGCCCACCGTCTTGGAGCCCGGCGCGACCGTCACGACCCACTTCTCCTGGTCTAAGCGTGTCTGCCCGTCGAAGCCGAAAGCCTTGGCCATCGCCACGGTGTGAGTCGGGTCATGCGCCCAGGTGAAACCCTTCGAACTCCATGAAAGCGTCCTGTGCAGAAACGCCGCACTGGACTTGCAGTTGGGCCCCACGCGCTCGCAGATCTTCACCTTGAACACTTCCCTCATCAGCTGCTCGAGGTCGTCGGCGCTGTCGTTCGGCAGGGCGTAGATGAAGTCATCGCCCCAGTGAACCCCCAGCGCCTCCAGCTCGCTACTCCAGTACAAGCACGGGACCACCGCGTTCCTGTCGAAGCCGTGCTCGCTCAGGTTGTCCGCCACGTACGTCTGGAACACCTGGCTCGCGTCCCTCGTTCCATATAGGCTCCGAAGCAGCCTCCACACCTTGCCCTTCTTGCGCAGGTCCTTCGGCGGTACCACGTACAGGACCTTCCGCACCAGGCCGTGGAAGAACGCCACAGAGATGTCAAACAGCAACAGGATCATCTTGACCCCCGCGCTGTTCCTTCTGGGACTGTAACTCGCCGCCCACGCCAGTATCAGTCTCACGAACTTCAACGGCGGCGTCGCAGCGAAGCAGTCCGTCCTAACCTCGCCTGTGTTGATCTCGGTTGCGACCAGCCTGCTCCTGACCTCGGCGCTGTTCGGGTCCTTCCGCGTCTCCACCCACTTCGACCAGATCTTCTTCCCTGGCTTGCTGATCATCTCGGACTCGTCCACCTCGACCTTCACCTCGAACTCCGCCAGGTCGCGCAGCTCCTTGGACCTCCCTTTGCGCACCTCTTCGCTGTCTAGCTGCTCGCCAGTCCTCGAGTCGTACGCCACGATCCCTTCCGCCGACGCGGGGTCCTCGTAGTTCACCTCGCCGATCATGTCGCTCTGGCTGTCGTCGGTGGTGGTCTCGAAGTTGCCGTCGTCCATCGCCGCGAGCCTCCACTCGTCCTCCTCTGGGATGAGCATCGCCACCACGTCCACGCCATCGATCACGTGCAGGCCCCCGATCATCACGTCGTCTGTGCTGGACCTCGCCTCGCTCTCGCTGACGACGACCGTGCCTGCGCCTCCCACGGCTGGGATCGCCACAGGGGGTTGAGACCTCACCTTCGCCGTCGGGCGCTCGGGGGCCTCCTGCGGAAAGGCCACCGCCGCGGGCCTACCTCTCTGTGTCGAAGCGTCCGCTCTGTCAACCTCCATGTTCTCGGCCGCGACTCCTCCGCTGCCGTCGCCCCCAGCTGGTGTCCTGGGAGCGTCGCCGCTCGCTGCCGACGATGGTTCTGCAGCGCCTGCGGGCGGCCCTGGGTCTGGTCTCGCCGCCAGCGGCGTGCCGACTGCGATGCCTCTCGGCCCTGCCGCCGCGTCTGCCACCATCTTCTCCAGCCTCGCTCGACACACCTCGGTATGCGGCCCCAGCCCCGCGCAGCCCGAGCACCCAGGCGTAGGCCCGTACTTCTGCACGATCGCCCTCGTCAGGTAGAGCCTCCTGTGCCCTGATGGCCCCTGGTCCTGCTGCGACACGATCGGCGCCTTCAGATCCGATGCCGTGCCGTTCCACGGCAGACCCTTCACCTTCGCCAGCTCCTCCTTTACGTACCGCTCGTCGACTGGCAGTCGATGTACCGATCTCGCTTTCTTCACGCCGTCCACGGTCAGAACGAGGTGTTCGTCCGTCAGCGGTGCCTTGCCGACCCACACCCCGTGCGCCCACTTCTGGTCCAGGTTGCCGCTGGGCACCGCCGTGTACTTGTACATCACGCGCTCGCCGAAGGGAAGCACCTCCCCGCCGTAGGCCTTGCCGAAGATCCGCACGTAGGGGGTTCGGCCGTCGCTCTTCACCTGGAACCTCGTCAAGCTCCATGCCGCGTGCCTGACCCCCCAGGCGATCAGGATGCTGTCGGTCGACACCTTCTCGCCCATGTGCTCCTCCATGTTGATCCAGATCGCTCTCAGGACGCCGTTGATGACCCTGTTGGCGCCCTCTATCTTGCCCTGGCTCTGGTGGCTGCCTCTCGGCCCATGCCTGACCAGAGTCCGCTTCACCCTCTTGCTCTGCACCGCCTTCAGCAACTGCACTAGCACTGGCTCCTGGTCCGAGTGAAGCAGCACCGCGTTGTGGCCCAGCGCGTCCACGAACGCCAGGATCGTCTCCACCAGGTACTCGCTGAAGGCCTTGCTGGGGCACAGAGTCGCCGACAAGCTCTCCGACCCGACGTCTACTCCGTTGAGGGACGGAATGCCAGGGCTTGCATCTGATTCTCGTCCGATCTCCGCGAAGTCAAACTCGATGCGTGGGATCGCTGCCTCCTCTGCGCTCAGGCCCGTCGGGTCCTCGCTTCGTCGATGAGGTTTGTCCGCCGCCCTCGCCGCCACGCAGTGACTGCACCAGCTCCTGTAGGGTACGTGCCCCGCGGACTCGTGTTGAGCCCGTTCCTCTGCCGTCGGCGTGGCAGGTCCTGTCGGCACTTTGATGCGAACTGCTGGATCCCCATCTTCTGCAAGCGTGGCCTCGGCTGCTGGTCCAGCCGCCCCGAACGCCGCGTGCTCTCTGGCCAGCGCTCTCTGCTCGATCTCCGCCTGCGTCAAAGGGTTGAGCTCCAGCGCGTTCGAGCCTCCGATCTTCGAAGGCCGAGCGATCGCGTAGAACAAGTTGCCCTTCCTGATCAGCTCCAACTCCTTGCCATCTTTGACGATCCACGACTTGCTCTTCGTGAAGTAGGCGTCGCACCCCGACTCGATCATCGCGCCCAGCGACCAGATCGGCCTCTTCACGTCTAGCACCCTGTAGTCCGTCGTGATCTTACCGAACTCCGTCTCATATGAAACCCGACGTCGCCCATGCTGCGCAATCAGCTCGCCAGTCGCCGTTGTCATGCGCCTCGGACGCGCTTCCTCTCGCAGGCCGTTCTCGGGCACGTGGTCTCGAGGACATACGTTTGCCGAGGCGCCTGAGTCGACCATGATGAGTTCGCACAGCTCGTCGCCCTCGAACTCCTCGTCAACCATGAACACCCAGCCGTCGTCCTGCTGCACCGTGTTGAGCGCCGCGGCCGTCCCCGAGCCTCCAGCGTGTCCCGCCTTCTTCTTCTCCTCGAGCCACGCGGTGAACTTCGGGCAATCCTTGCGCTCGTGGCCCTTCTCTCTGCAGAAGAAACACTTCCTCTCCTTCTTGCTGGCCTCGCCTTTGTTCTTGTCTTTGCCATCTCCCTTACCTTTGCCTCTGCCGCCGTCCTTACCCTTGCCATCTCCTTTGCCTTTGCCTCTGCCGCCATCCTTACCCTTGCCTTTACCGCCATCCTTGCCCTTGCCCTTCGAGGTAAGCGCGTCCACCTCCATGGGAGCCGAGTCGCCATCGACACCCCAACGCCTCTCCGCTTGGTGAACCGCCTTCCACTCGTCCTTCAGCGACGCGTAGTCCTGCAATCTCGTCGCGTTGAGGCCGACGTGTCTCCTCCATTCAGGGTCCTCAGGGTTGTTCGAGATCACCGCCGCCTTGATGGTCTCCTGGAGGATGTCGCCAGACTGCGCCTCGTACTGCCTGACGAGCCTCTCGAACTCCTCGATGGCTAGTCCACGGTCACCTGTGAACTGGTACTGGAGGATCTGCATCAGCATCGCCCTGAAGCGGCCCTTGTGGGCCGGCTCGAACTCCTCCAAGAACCTCCGCCAGATCTCGTAGCCGTTGCTGGGATCTGGTAGCTTCGTGACCATCTGCAACGCTACGTCCTTCGTGTGCATGGTGAGGATGAACGCCAGCTGCCTGGCTCTCCTCTGGGCTTCGGCGGCCATGTCGTTCATCGTGAGCTCTCTCGTCGGGTTCGCGTCCACGTCGAGCACCTCCGCGTGCAGCGTCTCGTCTAGCGCCGACAGGTACTGACGCATCTTGAACGACCAGTTCTTCCACTCCTTAGCGTCTCCCGTGAAGACCTCGGGCTTGTTGCCAACTCGCAGGTCCACCAACGAGATCGGTGCGCCAGCTCGTACTTCTCCTGGTGGCTGCTGAGCTGCTGCGCCATTGCCTGTGGCCCGCACTGCTGCCAGCTCATTCTGTGCCGCCGTGAGCTGCGCCTGCTGAGTCTCGATCACCGTACGCTGCTGCCGCTGTTGCTCCTCGAGCTGGGCCAACCTCTGCGTAAGCGCCTCCATCACTCTCTATCGTGTCCACGATCTCGGTCGTGTTCACCCCGCTCTCTATCGTGTCCACGACCTCTGTCGTGTTCACCCGCTCTCTATCGTGTCCACGACCTCTATCGTGTTCACCCGCTCTCTCGTGTCCACGACCTCTATCGTGTTCACCAACACGCTCTCTATCGTGTCAACCACGGCTCCAAGCTACCATGCGCGGAGTGGGCGTCAGCCGAACGGATTGAAACATCCTTTTGACTTGAGCCAAAGCATCACCGACAGATCACCAGTGCTGACACAGAGCAACGGGAATCAAAATCTGGCGGGGCATTCCTCCACCAGATGACCCTGCAGCTCGCTACAACATCATACTACCATGCAGGACCCTAATGTGTCAGCCAGGGTTGGACTACATTGCACCTGACACCCCTGAAATCGCCGCACATTTTTCTTATTTTTTCCTCTCGACATGGACGTCCTGTCGTCCACGGCGATAATCCATTGCAAAAAATACCACAAAGAGCACACGCGCGCGTTCATGTCAGAATCCTACCGAACACCGTGTGTTTGCAAGCATTTCAACATAAAAACATCAAAAACCCAATGCTTTTTCACAAAAAATCTACAAATTTCCCGCCCGGGCTCTCTTGCTGAAATCATAGGAAAACCATAGGAATCTTAAGAATTCGGTCAAATCCAGCGATTTCACGTCATCGCGCGGTGCACTCGCGATGCTCTGTCATGCACCCAGGCCGCGAATCCTGTGCAAAAAATACAACAAAGAGCACACTCGCGCGTTCATGTCAGAATCCTACCGAACACCGTGTGTTTGCAAGCATTTCAACATAAAAACATCAAAAACCCAATGCTTTTTCACAAAAATGCTTTGGGGTGTCCTGTCAGACCGTCGGGCTTCCTCCGGCCACCTCTGGCTTCCTGCGGTGTACCGGGCCATTCTCGACTCGTCTGGCAATGCGTGCGCGGCATTCAACACGCGCTCGCCAGTTCCCGTCGGCAACCGCCATCGCGGCCGCATCAGCTGTACCAAACCGGCTGGCCGGTGTGACTTCGGCCCCCAGTTGTGCCAGCTTTGCTTCTTATGTTGTGGGAGGGCGGGTGGGACTGGGCATGCCATGCTTGACTCGCTCGAGCTGGCTAGCTTGACTCCTACTCCTACTCCTACTCTACTACCTACTCCTACTCCTACTCCTACTCCTACTCCTACTACTACTACTACTACTACTACTGCTACCACTACTACTACTACTACTACTACTACTACTACTACTACTACTACTACTACTACTACTGCTACCACTACTACTAGTAACTACCACCTACTACATACTACTACTATCATTCCCTACCTAGGCTCTGCCTAGAAGGGTTCTTACTCTATGGGCTTAAAGGCGCCGGGCAGTGGAAATCGCCCCAGGCGGTTCCCCTGGCATCCGCCCCGCGGTTCCCCCAGTTACGTCCCCTTAGCTTAGCGTTGCTTATCTCATTTTAGCTTAGCTTAATTCATCTTAGCTTAACTTAGCTTCATCTTAGCTCAGGTGTATCTTAGCTTAGCTTACTTCATCTTAGTTTTATCTGAGCATAGCATAGCATAGCACAGCGCAGCACAGCACAGCGCAGCATAGCATAGCAGCAAAGCAAAGGCAAAGCAACAGCAGCGACAGCAAAGCAAAGCACAAGCAACGCAAAGCAAAGAAAAGCAACAGCAAAAGCAAAGCAAAGGAAAGGCAAAGCAAAAGCATGGGTGTAATTCCCTACCTAGGCTCTGCCTAGAGGGTTAACTTAGCTTAGCTTAGCTTAGCATAGCGCAGCGCTGCATTCGCATAGCATAGCATAGCCAAGCATAGCATAGCATAGCATAGCGCAGCATAACGCAGCATGGCATAGCATTGCATAGCATAACAGAGCACAGCATAGCTTAGCATAGCACAGCGCAGCCTGACATAGTATAGCATAGGACAACACAGCATAGCATAGCGCAGCATAGCATAGCATAGCATAGCATAGCATATAATAGCGCAGCAAAGCATGGTATATCAAAGCATAGCATAGCATAGCAACTAATGCTGCTTTCCTAGGGGGTCCAACTTCTAGGTAGGGTCGCACTGGGGTGATGTCTACTACTACTACTACTACTACGACTACTACTACTACTACTATTACTACTACTACTACTACTACTACTACTACTACTACTACTACTACTACTACTACTACTACTACTAGTACTACGACTACAACTACGATTACGACTACGATTGCGACTACGACCACCACCACCACTACTATGACTACTACTACTACTACTACTACTACTACTACTACTGCTACTGCTACTGCTACTGCTACTACTACTACTACTCCTACTACCACTACTACCACCACTACTACTACCACTACCACTACCACTACCACTACCACTACCAGGGCTACTGATACTACTACTACTACTACTACTACTACTACTACTACTACG